ACTTATTTGCTGAAGTATGAGAGTTTTTCCATCATCTGTGTGGTTGTGTTGTCATTTGTAGAGCAAATGGAGGAAAACTCTGAGCCTGAGTCACGTCTCAGATGGCTCCCAGCTGGGCTCCAGAAATCTCTGGTTACAGGTTGTTCGATCGTTCAGCTACAGGGACAGGCACTCTAGTCTTTGTATTATAGTCATTTATTTTCTTTTTTGTCTCTTTCCATCTTCTCTTGTACTTTTTACCTCTTTTTACCTTTAAAATCTTTTGGGATATTTGGTAAAGATGTGTTATCACTTACCAGCCAACCCATTTCTTCCTTCCACTCCATCGCAGTGCCTCAGTACTGCCAGTACTCAGTGATGTCTTTTGATGAACATGTTGTTCAGTTGGAAGATTGTAACTGATTAGCACAGCATGAATCTCAGCACCCTGCCTTTTATGACTCCCTTTCAAAAACATTCAGGACACTGAGAGTGTTGAAAGGTTCATTTGCTACATAACTGGATAAACAGTTGAAATAGTGCGAGAAGCAGTAAAAACTTGAAAATTTCCAGCTGTTATCTAAAAGTAGGGATAAAGACATGAAATTATTAGCAAATAAATTGTTAACTAAACATGCTTCAGTCATTTAAAATGCGTAGTTAAAATGATCAATAAAGTCTGAAGTTATTAGCTTAAGTTTTGCTAGGAGTTGAAATTGCTAGCTAAACATACTAGACAACAATGTATTTGTCATTTAAAAAATTCCATAATCATCTCATTGACCCATGGGAGATTAATTTGTAAAGGCTTTAAAGATATATTAAGAATGTGTTATTGTTGTTAGCTTAAAATAGCTTGCAAATCATTAAATGCTGAACTCACATTTTATACAGTTTAGCTCAGAGCTCAGCTTTTTCTTGCAGCGGAGTCGGACTCTCGGGCTGACGTTTATGTGGAGGGAAAGGACCAGATTGGAGGCTGGTTTCAGTCATCGCTGCTCACCAGTGTGGCTGTCCGGAACAAGGCACCTTACAAGTGAGCGTGCCTTCCACTCGCCACACAGATGATAATGATACACAGAAAGAAAATTGATGAAAGTGTCTGAAAAATGAATATTGTTGCAGGTCTCTTGTGGTCCACGGCTTTGCAGTCAGTGAGAAAGGAGAGAAGATGTCCAAGTCGGTGGGCAACGTTGTGGATCCTGATGTGGTCATTAATGGAGGGAAGGTAAAACGGATGAAGACTTTTCAACCTGTTCTAGATTTAAAATTAAGATAAAGTTAAATAAATTGTTCACTACAATCTACATGTTGTGTCAGAGCTACACTCTGCAAATATAGGACTTCACGCATCAAAGATTTCCAATTGTGATTCTTTGATTTTACCATTTCCTTGTTTGCCACTTTAAAAAACACACAAAAAAAGATTTTAAATGAAGCTGAAACTGAGAAGATAAATTTGCATTTCTGTGTAGAGACTTTCTAACCTGTCATCTTTGCCAGGACCCCACTGAGCCGGCCTACGGGGCAGACGTGCTCCGCTGGTGGGTGGCAGAGTCGAACGTCTTCTCTGAGGTCCAGATTGGCCCCTCTGCGCTCAGCTCAGCCCGGGACAGTATCAGTAAGGTACTTTAAGGTGCAGTTTATCTGCTCGCCACGTTCATCTCACCTGCTGCACCTCCTCTCATGGCTGTTGTTTGCCTTCCAGCTGAGGAACACTCTGAAATTCCTGCTCGGAAACCTGCAGGGCTTCGACCCACGACTGCAGGCTGTGGATCCCAAACAGATGCACTACATCGACCAGTACATGCTGCACCTGCTGCGCGAGTACAGCATCAAGGTGTGTTTAAGGTGTAGTCCATCCAACTAATGAAACGAGCACATTTGTGCCCCTGCTGACGTCTCTTTGTTCGCAGGTTACGGACGCCTACAGTGAGTTTGATGCTGGCAGGGTCATCCGTGTGCTGCAGGCCTTCATAACCAGAGAACTCTCCAGCTTCTACTTCAGTATCATCAAGGACAGGTAACATGTCAGAACATGTTAAAGATTCCTTTGCCTCCAGTAGCTTTGTTCATGTCTTTGTCTGTCCGTGGGTCAGACTGTACTGCGATGCAGAGGACTCGTTGGGTCGAAGATCCTGCCAGACGGTTTTAGAGGAAATTCTGGATGGCGTGATGAGATCCATCGCTCCGATCTTGCCACATATGGCTGAAGAGGTGTACCTGCACGCACCAGGACATGACAGTACGTGTCTTTCAATTTTCTGTGATTACTCTTTTACTGCCGCATGCATTCTCCACCACAGCCTTTCTATGTTTTCTGTGTTTCAATAGAAGAGGAGACATTATTTAAAAGTGGCTGGATTAAAAGCAGCTCTGTGTGGCGGCGACCAGGATTAGAGGAGGCTGTGGAAGGAGCGTGTGCCATCAGGGACTCCTTCCTGTCTTCCATTCCTGGCAAAAACGCCGCCAGGTACGACCTCACTGTCGCCATCGAGCCAGGTCTCCTGTTCGAACTCATGGAGGTAAGCTGGCTCTTCATATAAACTGAACGGAAGTGTGTGCGACAGTGCAGAAGGATTGTGTGACAGAAACTGCCATGGGTTTGTTTTTGTGTTGGTTTTGTTAACATCAAAGAAATAGATATAGACTTTAAACTGACCTAGAGATGCTGTATTTGGGTCATCTGTTGTAGTGTACTGCACTAGTACTAGCCCTCTGGTGTAGGATAGTAGGTGTTAGTGAACAACCTGCTGAGCTCAGCAAGCTGTGAAAGAAGCCGGCTGCCGGAGTGAAGGGACGTCCATGATTACTCATTTCTTAATCAATTAAATTTAGACTAGTAAACTGATGGTGATAAACGCTTCCCAATATACCCGTCTCAAGCATAACAGTGAGAAAATAAATTGTCTGAGTTTCTCACTCATCTTGATTCATTCTGAGCAGAGTTTGGAAAAACGTTTGAAGTACTCACGAAACAACTTAGAATGGGAGAGCAAAGATTGGCCCATCATCACCAAAACCCATCCAGCTTTTTTTAAAGTCATAAATGGACTGAAATCCAATTTAAATATCAATTAATATCTGGCTGATTTTACAAGCTACCGTGCCACTTTGCTTAATTACAATTACAGACATTACCTTTACCAGGACAGCTGCTGTTGTGCACTGAAATTGAAAAACTTGTATTTCTGGTGCCTCATATTAGCACTCGTGCATTTTTTGATTTGTGAAACACTGTGCACTACTTTGTACTTGAAGTTTTTAATATATATAATATATATACTCCTGCCATCATCCACTTTACTTCCAGTCTCTCCAGGAGGAGCCCACCTCCACCACCTCCCAGCTGGCTGAGCTGATGATGGCAGCTCGGGTCAACCTGGCCACAAAGATGCCTCGGGACCTGGATCCGGAGGCTCTGCTGAACCATGGCACCTTCCTCATCAACCTGGAGGGTGAGGACCTTCAGCCTAAAACTCCCAGATAAGAGTAACAGCAGCTGATAGCTGTCACAGCAATGCCTTACCTTTTTTTGTAGTATGCAACCATAGTAATCTATACTTTGTCACATAAAGTAAGATTTTGGTGTTGAAATTACTTTAATTCAAACTGCTTTGACAGGATTTTTGCATTTCTATACATTCAGACCTGCAAATCTTCAAGTTTCACACCAGAATCTGTCTGTGTTTTATCAGGTGGTGTAATCCGCGAGGAGAGCGCCTACAGTATCGCAGTGACGCCCACCTCTGCTGCCCGTTGCCTACGGTGTCGCCGCTACACCGCCAACTCAGCGGATTGCCTCTGCCCGCGCTGCCAGAGCGTCGTCTCCCAGGCTCACTGATGACCTCTGGCTCTGTTTGACGGCTGACCAGAGACCAGGTTTTGCACGCCCATCGGAGGCTGTAAAAAGGACTAGAAACATCTGCTGTCGTGCTGTAGTTCTCTCTCAGAGGATGCTTATTGGAAGAAAAACGAAGCCTCAGCTCAGCACAGGAAGGCAACAAAGCATCTGGTCTCTGAAATGTGTTTTAACAAATGTAAAAAGATGGTCTATAGGTGGGGTTTCCATTCAGAGAGCTTACGTGTGTCTGCGTTCTTTTAAAAAAAATGTGCTACAGCCACATTTGACCCCAAAGGCAAATGTACACTCGTCTCCTCTGGTTTGTAGCGTTTATTTCTCATTTTCTCCCCTAATCTAAACTATTTTTGGTATCAGTTGGCAAGTTTTGGAGCTTTAGAGATGTTTGTTGTCTCGTCTATTAATGATATAATAGTAAAAAACCTCGTAATTGTGTTAGAGACACAAGTTTGGGTTGTGTTGTTTGCCTGAGTCTCCAGTTACACCTTAAAACAATCACTTTATCAGCACCTACAGGCTAATTTGTCAGAAGTGCATTTGGATGTAGCGCCCTCAGTTCTCCCTCCCTTGTGTAAAGCACCAAATAAAATGTGCCTCGGATACGTTGACAGTTCTGGTGTCAGCAAAGCTGTACAATCTTGAATGCACTTTGTCATTTAAAAAATTTGAATTTAGTAGATGGTGCTCCTGATATGAACGTCTTGGCCACCATATTTTTGAGATTTTAAAAGATCCTAAAATGCACTGAATTAATTACCGGTATTCTAAATTGTAAGCTTGCAATGTTGCTGTAAGTGTTGATGTTATCTAGCTGGAAGCTTCTTTTGTTGGTGCATTTAGATCATACCTGATCATAAGGATTATGGATATTTTCTTTTTCAAAAATGTATTTCCCTGTTTAGATCTGTATTCTGGGGGAGGCAGATGTCAAATCCAGGTGATTAAACAGCTCTACAAACCAGAGGAGAAATGAGTGTTTGATTTAGTTGCTCCTTTTACTGTATGGGAAAATAATGCACTACAGAGTCACTGTGACAGCAAACTGATGCTGGTGGGTACTTCTTTGTATAATAGCTTGTGTTCCTTGTAAACATAAAGAATTCAAAGTTGTCTGACTTATAAATGAAAAAATAAAGAACGGGTCTTCAGACTCATGTTCTCCAAGCTTTAAGAAGCATCTTTATTCTACATGGGAGCAGCTGGTGTACAGGCACAGCTATTAAAGTTCAGTCTGCATATATAAATAAAAAATCAGGTCCATTTTTCTTGCTAATACATTTCTGATCTGTGAAGAAGAGGAGTCGTCGTCTGACACGGCACACAGGGTGTCTGACTTTAACGTGAGTACTAACACAAATATTTAATCTCATTTGTTGTCACATGCAGGGAAATAAGATGGATTAAAAAAAACGATTAAAAGCCTCTGAATCCACCGTGTTTAACACCACCTATGATTACTGAGCAGAACAACAAAACCTCCAAACGGGGGTGAGAAAGTTCTTTATCCTCTTCCTCTCTGACAGTCTCTCACATTCCAACTATCTGCAGCATCCCCCCCTCAGTCCTCTGTGGTGAGGACCTCTACGGCCTCCAGCAGGTGGAGGGCCAGACTGTACTGAGCGTGGTTCTCCGGCAGTATCTCGATCAGACGACCGACCAGCCGGCTGGTCTGGGGCAGCGGGATCAGGGGACACTGCAGCTCACGTGGGTCCTGCAAAATAAACCACACTTCCAGTTAAAAATGACCAGATGATTTATTTAAACTACATTACAGGTCCTGGCTGAGGGGCAGCACGTGCAGCGACCAGTTTTTTCCCCCCTTTCTAATTTATTACAGTCTCACAATGATTTCAGTCAGTTTTTATATCTGTAAGTAATAGTAAATCAGCTCATTCTCACTCCCAGGATTTTAATTTGTGCTGCTTTTATCTAATTCTAAATTCAGACAAAACTGACATCATTGCACCAATTTCAGAAAGAGCAGCTCGCAGGGCACGGTCTGCTCATTGGGTGTCTCCAATCTTCTAGCGTCATTGTGAACTGACTCACTCTCAAACCACCAGTTCTTGCTCCCTAAACCAAACCAGCAGGAACTGGATATAACTGAACTGAAGTGTAACGTTTTTGAGATTTAAATTCTATTAAAAAGTTCTTTAATACGCCTTAAATTTAACCTATTGTGATTTTAATGGCTAATTATTCATGTTGGACACTCATGACTGTACCAACTTGAGCAAAAGTTAAACAATTTCATGTTATAACAGAGAATCTGTCACTGTGAACAGAACTCAGCAATGACTGCATTTTAAAGAAACAAAAAGGAGAAACTGCGGTGCCAGATTCAGTTGAGCAATAGAAAAAAACAACAACACATTGGCTCTTTGGGGACACCAAAGGTTCCCATTTGTTTCTGAAAACACATAAATGTAGAGTTCAAAGACTCTTACCCTGTATGTACACTCAACTATGCACTTTAGTTCTCCAAGCACTACTTGCAAATAACCCTTTAGGAAAAGAGCAGGCTGTAGTGTTGGGATCTCACCATCGCCTTCAGCCACGTGCAGAGGGTGGGGGGCAGGCGGGCCAGCAGCTCCATGGCGGCCTGCGTCTGGTTCTGGCTGTGGAGAAGCGAGTAGCTCAGCCTCTGACCTGTCAGCACCAACAACTGGGAGCCCAAAACATCCTTATCTTCCACCTCCAACATCACCTGAGGACGGGGAGATTAATTGCTTTAAGATTTAAGTTTTCGTGATCTACGGTTTGTGGCTACAAATCTCTTCAGATAACCACACCTAACCAATACCTAAACCAAGTAGTCTTAGTGCCTAAAGTGAGTTTAAGCAAGTTTTCGTGATCTACAAGGAAACAGTTTCCAACCTCTTCTGCCCGAAGATCCAGTCCTTGGCTGTAGAGCTCGCAGACGAGATGCCGCCGCAGGATGTCTGGGTTGACCTGCAGCAGAGAGCCGAGCTCTAAACACAGCGAGGGCCACCACTCGGCTTTGGGTCCGCTTGAAGGAAGTGGAGCGGAGCTAGAGGGATCATCTATAGCCTGAACCCAACCGGTCAGCACCCGCAGGAGGAACTGAAACAGAGGACAAAGTGGAACAGCAGGAGATCAAGCGATGGGTGTGGAACATTATTGTCCGATTAGTGTCTGCATTTTGTTCCACCTCTTACCTCCTGTCGCACAGAGACCAAACCTGGGTCCATGTCTCCGCTGGGCATCAGCTGGATGGTCGTCAGGTCTCTGAAGAAAGCGTTCTTACCCTGCAAACACACATGTGACACAAATGGATAAACATTAGAAATGTCAGCTGGTATCATTTGTATCTGCCAGCACCGGAGTACCATCAACTGCATTTTTCCTAATGGCAACTTAAGACTGGCTACAAAACATGAATCGACCCTTACAGCCTGGATTTGGATTTACAGCAAGGTTATTTGTTTATATAACTCTGGTTTACATTGTATTAATGCTTAAACGTTTGCATCATTAAGGATGAGGCCGTTGGAACTACGTTTTTGTTCTAAACTTTGGCAGAGTGTCGATCTCCTCACCTTGCTATCAAAAAGGCTGAATGGTTTGACCTTGACACTGAAGGTCATAGCAGCATGTAGCAGGGATGCTAACAGGCAGTGGTGCTGGACCAGCGGGTAGTGAACACCTCTTTGCTCCAGGGCAAGTTCAGCAATGGAAGCTGGGCCCTCGGCTCCAGACCACGCCTCCTCGATGGACAACTCTGGGGCAGAAACCTCCTCCACCGCTGAGTCCGCCTGCACGGAAAAGGAAAATACGGCTAATGAGAGGATTCATTTTCCAATTTATGTTAAACACTATTATACATATTCATTAAGAAAAAAGAGATCTTGTAGAAAAACCAAAGATATGATTTGATTTTATTCCTAATGCTTACTTTTCAAGCCATTTATTTGATATTTTTAGCAAGAGTGTTCTTCACTACTGCAAGAGTACAGCAGTCATGCAGCTTTTATGTGAATGGCAAGAACAGGAAGAAGTCCTTTTCACACATGCACAGAATAAATCAGGTCTCTGGTGCAGTGAGGGTGGTATTAGTAGCTCTTTTGATCAGGCAGCAGGTGGAAAAAAAAAACTAAACAACTAGAAATGCTTTCCCATTATATTAGACTAAAATCCCATTTCTATAAGCCTAAACAACTTCCTACTGTTGTCGTTCAGTGTTTCACTGCCATGCTAACCACTCTCCATGCTATCACTCTGCTGTCTCCTTTACTTACATAAAACTTCATAAAAGAAAAAAGGCACTGATTCCTAACCAACACTCCAGTCACCTCCATGAGGATATTCAGCAGCTGGACGCAGCAGCCCAGGAAGGACGTCATGGCTTTGTCTCCCATCCCGACATCCTGCACAAAAATTCACAGTACATCTGAATATTTGTATGGACTAATATATTTACAGGCAAATAAACATTTTGAATAGAATTGGTGCTGAAATGTAACTCTTACCCGTCGACACAAGCGATCTTTGGGTGCTTTCCCCACCTGTTTCAAAATAAATCAATAAAATAAGAGATTTAATTCTGTACAAAGTCCCGACACAGTGACAGAGCTCAGCTCGACTCGTTATGACCAGAACTTACTTTCTCCATGAGAAAGGTTGCTGCCGAGAGACGCTTGGCAATGAATGTGCTCCACATCATTGTACAAACACCTGTGAGGAGTTAAGACATGCTGACTACCGGGGAGGTACTGTCTTCTAAAGCATGCATTGTATTATTGGATCAATAAAACAGACCGAAAGCCAGTGTGGTACTCACCTTGCTGAATATGAGGACTGGAGACCATCTTCAAATGTTCCACAGACCAGCAGAGATATCGACCCTCCTATGAAGAGAAGCAGGTGTGAGATCAGACTGCAGAACTCTTCAGGTCTTTATGAAAATCTGAAAGTTTGCACTTTCTACTATTAAATACAGTATGTGTTAGTTTGCGCACAGATAGAAGATTTACAATGCTGCACCAAAAAGTCAAAAACCTCAAGTAAATTTAGCTAATCTTCCCTTCAAGTCTGTCTGCTGCTGCTGCTACATTTTCACCAGTGTTGGCTGTGAGTGATCTAAGCATAGCAGGAGGTTTTGAAATGGTGTAGAAAAGCACAAGGAGACAACCTTGGAAGAGACGTATGCTAATGCTAAATCTGGGAAAGCATTTTCCTTCTTATGGGTGGAGACGTGTGACTTTTTGATAACGCGTTGTGTGCGTGCTTGTGTATTTGCACACCTCTGGGTCTTTGTTCCACTGCACCACATACTCCCAGCAGCAGTGGGTGAAGAGAAAATCAGGTGAGAGAGAGTGTGGGAACCGCTGGCATACTGCTAACAGCAACTCTGAAAAACACGGAAGAAAACAGGCTGATTTGGATTCAGGCTCCATGAAACAATGTGTACTGCAGAACAGGAAATATGACTAATTTGCCTGTCTTCAGCTTACTGTGATTATTTGATCATTAACCAAACCTTGATCATTATGAATAAATACCATACAATGCTATTGTCTTCTGTTAGCCAAAGAGAACAGGCACACTGCACATTAACTGTAGAGAGATCTTTCTATACAAATGTCCAATTTCTACTTTCAATATTCTTGGACTCTAGCTGGGCACATGAGTCTGCTAGAGTCCAAAATATTTATAGCAATAGACAGTTTTAATTTGATGATCATTGGTTTGACTGTGGTCTATAGGTTGGATGCTTTTAGGTGACCAGACTAGCACTGAGAACAAACTTACGTTTAATAAGAAAGTTCATAGTGTCATCTGCATAAAAACATATATTACTGATACAGAGGTCCAAAAATAGGCTAAGTAATCGATTTCCATTATTTTACTTTTTGTCTTTTTGAATTTAATTTTTTTAAATCACCACAAACAACAACACAGCTGACGCCACATTATTCTAGGATTTTCAAGTTAAACTATATCTCAAAATTGCCCAGAAAGACTAACATACCGAACATGTGTTAATATCTTAGTCCTCACCTGCTGTCCTGTCTGTGTCCTCTTGGCTTTTCTCCTGCTCATGTCTTTCTTCTTCGTCTCTCTGCTCCACATTGTCATCTGCTTCTTTATTTCCCCTTTTCTGGAGGATTTCCTTGAGCCGCTCTGGGGAAATGTCTTGTCTAAACACCCACTTAGAGACGCTGTCGGCAATACCGCCTGAAACAGACAAAAGCAAACGGTGAATGTATTTGAAATTACTAACTAGGCTTTGGCCAGGCAGTGTATTTGAATGGGTTGTGGCAGTTGTTCCAGATTCCCACACTCCAAAGAAGAATGCAGCCATCAGGGGAAAACTATGGTCAATATCATCAAGACACTGAATTCATGGAGAGAAGTAAAAAAAAAAAACAAGGAGTAACTGAGGAGAGAACAGCGATACAGTGCATTTGAATACATTTATGAAGTGAGGAAAACCCAAGAAAAGAAACATGACAAGTAAAAAATGAACTCATACAGCTTGAAGTCTCCCTGAACTTATTTTTCTCTACCTGTGCCTCCCTCCAACAATGTTTTAATAGAGCACTGAACTGTAGCGCCCCCTGTTGCTCCTGGTGGAGGAGGCACCAACAGCAGAGTCTGCAGCACCAGCACGTCTTCCAGCTGGCGAACACACACCACCCACTGCTCCAACTCCAGTGACACTGCCTCCCACTCTGACTGAAACTGACACACACACATTAGTGTTGGTTGATTTTTAAAGGGGGTTATGTTCCTATTTTTTGCTTAAGACAGTCCTCAAGTGCATGACGCCTCTCTACCTTGCTATCAGCTCGGCTTGTGATGCTAGCTTTAGCAGCACGGTGAGCAACCAGTGCAGCCAGCAGGGCAGCGGCAGCGTTGTGGGACTGAACACATGTAGTGCGGACTTGCTGCCACCAGGGGGAGATTGACTGTGTGTCCCACGACTCCTCGACTGCACCTAAATGGAGGGAGAGAAAAAGAAGAGGCCACTCTTATTCTACTTATTCTTCTTTTCCAGTCTGACGGTTACTTCTTGAGGTTCACATTTCTTTCGATTTCTTGTTGTCCAACTGAAGAAAACCACCAGAGCACCAACCAACATCAGCACATCTAACATCAGAAACATCAGATGAATTAGCCCTTCAACCATTAACATATAGAGTTGTATTATTTAGCCTCGTGAACTACACAGACACGACAAGCCTTACAGGTACCTTTCATATCGCTGAGGGCGACAAGTAGTCTGTGGAGGTTTCGAACATTTTCCTCTGGTTTCTGTAGCAACTCCTTCTCCCGATGCAACCACACACTCAACAGCAAAGACTGACAGAAACAGGAAGTATGAACTGGATTAATTACTGATATTTGTTCAAAGACCTATTATATTATACACCCTAATTTCATGTGAGAACATATCAGGCTCCAGACACGCTGGGCTGACTTACGCAGACAGATAATGAAGTCTGCGTTCTTTCACTCATTAACAGTAAATACTGAATACTGACATCACAATATAAAGTGACCATTACTGAATAAATTACACACCAGTGGGTTGTGGTTCTTCTCTGGCAAAGATGTAAAAAGCCTCATATCAGTATTACGTATGTATCATACAGTAAAAAATTAAAAAGATATGCAATTCTATGCACTACATAAGATTTGTAAGATTTCTCTCAACAGCAGCTACACATCCTGTCACATCCTGATCCCAGCTTTCACCCATTCTTTCCCCCCAGCTTACCAGAAGCTGCTGTGGGCTGATGCCGGCCTGCTGTAGTGTGTAACAGACTTTATGGAGTGGACTTTTTCCACACAGACAACTCCAGAACAAGAAGTTTCCTGCAAATGACAAACAGGAAAAGTACTCAGTCTGAGTTTTGATTGAGTGTAACAGCATTAATGTGCCTACTTATGTTGCCTGCCTTACCCAACTGGTTCCATTCAGTTTCAGACCTACGGATCACCTTAACCTCCTCATCCTCTGTGCACTTCAACTGGGAGAGAAAAGCCTGAGCAGGCAGGGGGGAGTCAGGCGAATCCTGGGCAAACGAAACACTGGGTCTTGGTGTGAACTGTGCATAGCGCTGCAAGGTCGGTGCAACACGGGACAATTCCTCCTCTATGCCTTCAAGGGAGTCCTGCAAGGATGGAAGAAAGAAATACTGGAATAGCACCGAGGTTTCAGCTCACCACCTCTAAAGAAGCTCTTAATTTCTTTAAATCTGTGTGTGTGCGCTCTCACATTTTCAGCGGTTTCCTCGACATCTGCGGCAGAATGTAGTTGCTGGATGTCTGTGTAGAGCTGCAGTAGTTTGAGCTGTGATGAGCAGAGCTGAAGCAACTCAGCATCCACTTCCTCAGGCTCTGAAGTGCAGAAACAAAAGGAGAAACAAGCTCAGGGTGATTATGAGATACAAGTTCCTGACACTTTTTTCTTTCATATTACATTTCTTTCATCAGTAAACGTATTCTTTACCTTGCCGTTTCAAAGTGTCATCTAAGGCACGTGTGATGTTAACAAGACAAGAGACAGGAGTGTTTTTATTTGACAGAAGAGACTCCAGTGCCTGAAAGAAAACGGAGACACTGAAATTACAACATCATATTCAACTGACAAGAAGAGTTTTAAGTGAATAATGGCAGCAGTGGTGTTCAGTTCGGTTGCAACCACAATTTAAAATCACCTGGAAAATAAAGGATATTTACATATAGGGCCAGTGTGCCCAAGAAGACTTGAACAGGGGCCCAGGATTGAGCTGCTGGACCAATCAGGGCTGTTCAAGTATTTGAAAAGATAAATTACTTGGGTTCCTGTCCCATGTGAAAGAAAAAGTAAAAGTTGCTTCATCATCCTTAGACTTAACGGACTTTTCATTTTAATCTCTTTTTCCATTTATATTTAGTTTTCAGTTGCAGGTTGGTTAGATTTAGGAGAAGTCTGTAATTAGAGTAAAACAGGGCCATTTAAAACAATAACCACATCAGATTTTGGTCGTACCTGCTTCTTAACTGCAGGGTGTTTGATATCTAGTACGATGCTTCTGGCTTCACTCTCCAATATATCTAAAAGAACACAGAGTCATTAATAATATAATACTGTATAACACATGAAATATATTTGAACATGAAACCTGACATCTCTTGTCATGCACTTACCAAGCTCAATGTCTCGGCTCCTTAGTAGGGTAGTGAGTTTCTTTACCAGGTGCATATCTTTGGCTCGCTCGCTCTTCTTATCACTGAAGTGAAAAAGACAGAAAGATGGAGTTAGAGGGGACTTTTGCTGCCGTCGTGCAGTAGGTTTTTTGTTTGTGCCTTTTGGAGATTTTTTAAGGCAATTATCTGACAATAATAATAATAATAACTTTATAAACCTCCACAGAGCATGCCTGCCTAATATCTTGAGGGAGGTTGTTCCACAGAAACGGGGCAGGTAAAGAAAAGGCACGCTCTCCAATTGTCTTTTTTCTGGCTCTAGGAACCTTTAGAAGGCCAGAGTCCTGAGATCGTAGAGCACAGGATGGAACATAAAGGTGTAAAAGGTCGGAGAGGTATGAAGGTGCCGTTTAAAGCCTTGTAGGTGAGCAGCAGGACCTTAAAATCTGCTCGAACCTGACAAGGTAGCCAATGAAGAGATCTTAGTACAGGGGTAATGCGCTCAAATTTCCCAGATCTTGTTAAAATGTGAGCAGCTGCATTTTGCAGCTGTAGACCTCTAAAACTTTTCTTTGGTAGCCCAGAAAGAAGAGCATTACAATAATCAATACGTGAAGACACAAACGCATGGACAAGAACGTCTGCAGTGTTTCTTAACAAAACTTGTCTGATTCTGCTATGTTCCTCAAATGATAAAGGCGGTCTTTGTTATCTCTTTTACACGAGACTCGAAGGAGAGCACCATGTCGGACCACACGCCCATATTTCTCACCGTTTGGTTATGTGTACCAATAACCTGTCAAAGGAGTTTTTGCTGTGAGTAAAATTCACAGATTTTACCTGGATGTTACTTAACAATAATTAGCACGTATCCAAAGCCAGTCATTTACATAGCAAACATAGCCACACAACATATTCTGGGGTACCAAAACAAAACCAGCGGTCAGTTCAGAAAGTCCGTCTTTACAGCTGAAGCGTACAGAACGATCATTCAACCTGTGGGAATCCTATGACAAGAACGGATTTTTTTGAACCTCACAGAACCAGGAAGTTGCAGCTCTTCAGATCCAACCTAATGTCAAATATTCATGACTCTTTGTGTCAGATTTAAGAGTTTTTACAGGTGGGGAAAATCTGACCTAAGAAAGTGGGCAAGACTCTGCAAAATTTTTTTTTTCACTGCACCTGCATTCATTTTAAACACCTACATGACAGCCTGTCCTTTTAGTCTGCGTACAAACCTGAGAGCCAGGTGGAAGGGAATGTTCACGGTCCTCAGAACTCCTGTGATTGGATCAAGCAGACACACCTGCTGTGTGTGGAGCTGCCAACCCTGACTGGTCACACTGTTCACCCCCATCAGACGGTAACCAGCATACAGCAACCTGCAACACCGTACAAGCATATATTTTGTTATATTCCAACTTCAGGATCAAATGAGATTCTTCTTCAGTAAGAAAATGTGGGAGCTTCACGGTGTGTACCTGCAATGTTTGCCTACAGTGAAAGCTCCGACCCGAGGCCCCTGTTGCATTGCCCAAACCTCCAGGATCCCCCTACGAGGGGCGTAGATGACGAGGAACAGAGCGTGGCGTCTGGGGAGGGACGCTGAGGGGGATAAATCCCGCTCGCTACGCTCCTCTGGAACCTGCAGCCAACCCAACTGGGCATCTCTGTAACCTGGAGATAAATGTATGATTGGGACATTGTTAGGATTTTATTAATAATGACACAGGCCGAAGAAGGAATCATAGTAAAAATAAACATTACAGTGTTTAGGGCAACTCCTGCTACATTGGGAAGCTCTTTAATTAATTATTTTTAAAGTGGCCGCAGCTAGAAAAGCAGCATAAGATTAAACATAAATCTATGAAAACAAAAAGGAAACACCTTCATCTGATCACCTGTACAAAGATTCGATTATCAGATTTTAAATTGGGCTGTGACATTTTTAATGTATAAAATACCTGATCTACAGACCTATTTTAATATCATACTGAAATTATAAATGCAATGAGATAGAGCTGCATTTCTAGCCCATCTAATGATGCTCAATTTCTCTGGCAACTTTCAGATAGTAGGTTAAGAATTAGGTGTTGACAACATGAATGCATCGATCCATCCTGCCTTTTATCAGAGGTTCAGGCTGCTGGGGCTGGTGTATTGCTGTAGGGATGTTTTTTTGGCATAATTTGGGCTCCTTAGTACCAACTGGTCATCAACTGATTATTGTTGATGACCATGTCCATTACGTCCTTTATGACCACAGTGTACCCATCTTCTAATGGCTGCTGCAGCAGGAAGTGTCAAAGCTCAAATCATCATTTTAAACTGATTGCTTGAGCATGACAGTGAGTTCACTGTACTCAAATAGCCTCCACAGTGACCAGATCTCAGTCCAAAAGAGCAACTTGGACATGTGGTGGAACAGGAGGTTTGCATCATGGGTGCACAGGCCACACATCTGCAGTAAATGTGCGACACTATCCTGCCAATATGGAACAAATTTATGTATGTGTTTCTATTACATATGTGTGTCACTCACAACGAGTTGTTCTTCCACGTGTTTACACCTCACCTTTCCACATGCGAATGGCGATGCCCCTGGCCAAGTCCAGCAGTGTGACTCGGCCAAAGTCATCAGTCACTCCAGCCAGCGTGTTGCACGGGGACAGACATATCGACTCGCCATGCCGCCGAGAGTCTGGGAGACCAAATCTGCAAAGGAGAGCAGCAAGTGTGCTGAGGTCAGATTAGGTTTTCAGTCTCAACAGCACACAGTCGACGATGACTGGATTTGTGTTTTAGATGTCCCAGTTCGTACCTGATACTTAAAGGGGTGGCAGGCTCCACCTTGGGCTTCTGTTTCTGGGGAGCCTCCTCTTCGTTCTTGTTTTTGTTCCATCCCAACCACCCGCTGAGAGGGAAATGACAAGTGACGATAGAAAAAATAGAAAGAGGAAAAAGAAAAAGTGAGTGAGAAACAGTAAGGAGGAAACTTCAAACACAGATCTTCCGTCTCCAGATGCTTTCCAGCACACTGACCCCTGACTTTGGCTTGGAAACAACTTCTCCACTGGATGAGGCATTTGTCTTTGCCGCCTGTGCGCTTATGCCCTGTGCTTTGATACAAGCCTCCAAAAACTATCATTTTATTGGAGCCCAAAGACTCTGGACCGTTTTTGACTTAGTTGTTTCTAAGTATTTGTTTGCTTACAAGATTAATGAACTTGGATTTAAAGTTAATGAGCACAATGAAGAGTTTAAATTATATTTATGTCACAGCTTAAACATATAGCTGCATAGCAATTGTACAACAGTGGAAATCATCACTGTATGATCTA